TAACGGGGAACAACAACAATGAAAATCCTCCAAATCCCACACATTGTACACAAAGTGTAAAAATAGACATAATTAGAGCAACATACAGTAATTAGACTCCAGAGCAAGTATCATGGCAAATCTTTCAGGCTTATAAGCATGAATAAAAAACTGATATAGTACATAGTTAGAGGCCCCTGACTACATTCTCTATTTTCAGTTTCAGAGATAGACTTTGACCCTCATTTTCCTCCTAATATTAATCACAGATGGATGTATAAACTCTGCAAGGCAGAAATCCTCTTATCTCCACTTCTTTGTTTTCTGCAGAGTACTGTGTTTGATTCCAACCCGGCTTGTCTAAAGCTCTGATAGTCCAGCTTTTAACAGTGATGCATGTTTAGTCGTTTCTTTAGTATTGAAGTGTTTTCACTGAAAAATCCCAAGGCAGGTCCATTTGCCAGCCTGGGAATCTCACTTGTAAGAGAGCTGAATCCATTTCTGTTTCAGGAGAATGTTCCCTGCAAGTCCCATTTATGGTAGCACACAGGTAAACAATCCACCTGCCAAATGCAGAGAGAATTGTGGTATGGGAAGAGTGACTTGCAATGTTACAGTTAAATTTCTGCACAGGGTTTATTCCAGGTTATAGTGGGTAGAAGTGCTTTACATGCAATTCAGCTGGAATGCCACATTTTCAATAAACACTTGGGCAAGATCAAGTGCAGCATAAAATCTAGTCTGAAGGTTCTCAATTAACCTAGGCTTCCATTGCTCAATGGTAAAGACACGAGAACTAGAAACTAGACTTGGATTCTGCTGGATTTGCCCCAGATACCTCATTTGATGGCCAGACACAGACAGGTTTACTTTTTCAGCGTTAAACAAATGAATAGAAAATGTCAATGGTTTGCTGCCCTGCCCTAAAAGGCAGGGAGGGTCTGTGCAGATTCGTGGGTTCAAGTGCATTGGAGGATGCAGGAGCGCACATGGTGCTCAGGCTGACAGTAGCTGGGAAAGGTGAGGAGAGGCAAAATAACGGAAAAGTGAAAAATATTGCAAGGGATACAAATGCAATATGCACATAAGAAATACACAGAATCTTCACTATATAAAATTCAAGTGCATATAGAATCATGCAATGGTTTGGGATATAGATCAGTATATGACAGCTCACCCCTTTGCAGTGGTGACAGGGGAGCTGCAAACATCCTTCAGTGAATTCTCACCTGATGGACACTGTGTTTTTCGTAACAGCAAAACTTACCACAGGAATGCAGTCAAATTGTCACTTTGTTACAGTGACTGGGAGAGAAGAAAGTACACTGGATTGTGGTAGGGGCTAAAGGCTAAAAATGAGAGACCAAAGTCTGTCTTGTTAGCAAGAAGTCAGTTCAGAGACATCAAAATATACAGGAAACTTGAAATGCTATGGTCTGTCACTTGGCTGTAGGATTTCTGTTCCTGTCTCTAGCTTTGTTTGGTGAAAGATTGATATGAAACTTTTGTCCCTTTCTGCAAATAAATAAATAAACAAACAAATGAACGAATAAATAAATAAGCAAATGTCCATATTTAAACACAGTTTGTGAATCATGGGATTTCCTAACTGTGTGACGTGTGGTCCATCCCTGCTGCTTTGCACTGTGTATGTGTCCTGATTGCATGCGAGCCAACTTTGGATGGACATTTTGTGAAGTGTGAAGTGTTCACCATCTGAGAGCTGGGTAGGCAAGAACATGGTTAGACCTTAGAGATCTATTTGCAAGAGGCTGCAAGAAAAGCAGTAGATCTGTCGGACATGAAACATATTTTGGATTGCTGGTTGTGTGTGTAGCTCCTAACACCTCTGCTGTCAGGCTGCTGGCATGTACCCTGTGTACGTGTATACGTGTAGGAAGTGACTGTGGAAACATGCCAGTGTTTTTTATCTCACTTTGAGTTTCCCTCATTGGATTGCTTGTTGCTGTTGGTTACTTACTTGGAAAGGCTTTTTTTTTTTTTTTTGCAAAGACACAGGTGCCTGTGAAACAAATAACTCGCTGATTTTAGGAGATAAATTTTGGTGCAAACATTTCTCAGTGATTGGGTTGCTGGGCCTTGCTCAGACTTGCCTCCCTCATTCCTTTTGGCGAAATTAAGAAACTTCTTGGGAAGTTTACCAGTGCTCGGAGCTCTGCTGCTACCTCTTCCTTGCTGTCGGTATCACTGCGGGAGGGCAGCTTGCCACCTGGGCTGCTTGTTCTGCCTGCAGACTCAGAAGACTCGAGGTGCATTTGGATGTGCAGTGATCACAGGGGGTAGCACAATGTTGGGCTGTTGAGGGAATGCAGTGACAGTGAGTTTGAAGAAGTCAATGGGGAAGGCCATAATTTTCAAATGAGAGTGGGCCTGGACTGGGATATTTCAATCAAGCCAAGCCACAAACTTAAGAGGAAATCCAGATCTGATTCAACTTCTAGGTGTCTAAACTTGCTGTCTTCCCTATCTTTAAAAAAACATTTATACTTTGCCAAAGTCTGTATTCTGTGGTTATTTGGTGTTCATCTGCTTTCCAAGCTGAAAACAACAGCTTTAATTAATTAACTGGCAGTAGAGCAGCCCATTCGCTTTAACTAACATCAACGCAGTGACTGTTTGGCTGTCAGACCTGGGGAGCAGTACATAACTGCTTACTTGCACTGATTTACCTGTGGATATAGAGCCATGATGTTTCTCAACATCTAAGATTTCAGATCTGTACCCAAAAAGCTCAGTGTGTAGCCATTTGGAGCTGTGCTAACGTTAAAGAGGCAGAGCAGTGAATAACAATTGTTACCATGAAGTGGCTTGGAGACTGATATTAAGATAGAGAATCAAAATGGATTAAATCCTGAGGTGGGGTAATTATTTTTAATGACTATTTACTAGTCTGTGCTTCTTGGAAAGTAAGGGGGTTTCTAGATGGTGCAATGTGTGTTGCTAAACTGCCAGTGCCTGGGAACAGGACTGTTTGACCTAAATGGAACCCAACAGATGAAGATTTGCATGTTCAAGTAAGTAATTTCAAGACAAAAATACATGAAAGAAAAAAGAATAATGAAAGGAAATATATTCTGAAGGCAAACTATCTGAGGAGGTTAGGAGACAGGGAATCTGCTTCATGTTAGCAAAAAAATCTGATCTTTTGAAGCTTGTGGGCCATATTCTACAGCAATTAAAGTGACAAAAATCTTCCAAAGCCGTCAGGATTACACCGTTCCACAGGCTTTAGGGATTGGGTCTTCCCACTTAAAGGGCATTTGTTCTTTCTTGCTTTTAAATACAAATGTGGATTTCTTATGAGGTTTCCTTCATTTCTTACTATAAATGTTTCCATTGGTAGCATTTTCTGAACTAAATGCAGGCAGATTTCAGATACCATCCTACGTCCAAGGTTTTGTACATTAAGCCAGTCAGAAGGTTTCTCCAGTAATCTCCAGGAATTTCTTTTTGGTGGTTTTTACCCAATAACCAGAGCCTTGACTTTGACTTTTTTTTTTTCTCTGTGGACTTTCTGTGATGGGTGGAGACTAATGCTCTGTAGCTAGCTTTTTTCTGTTAGGGTTAGGAGTTCAGCGCGAAGTCATCGTAACAAATGTAGTAATTCAGTACAACAGCGAAACTCATTTGGGTAAAACTTCAACTAGAGTTACTGTATTTTTGCTTTTTTGTCCTTTCCCAAGAGAGAAAGTGTACCTGCTTGATGTCAGGTTTGATTTGCAGTTCTTCTCTGGTTGGCATTGAAGTTGTCTGCTTGTAGAGGCTTGCTCTTTCCTGCTAAGTGGAAAACTAGACTAGAATATGATTTGGTTCCTGTTTGTGATGGCCCTCGCACTTGCTGTTGTTTATTATTTGTGTCATGACTTTCCTTTGTGCAGGGGGCTTTGTAGAAAATAGAGAAATTGGTTTGTCCATTCATAGATTTCAAAGTTCTGTACTATTATGAAACTGCTGTAGCTGAGTCAGTTATGGGGATTCTCACCAGAGGTGCATTTCTCAAACTTCATGTCTCTCTTATGGGAAAGGTGTTAAAATATTTTTTTCCTAGTTTTCCAGAAGAACTGCTCCACCTTAGATCTGGTCTTGCTACTCAATACCTTTAAGGGCAACTCATATAGAAATACTCATATAATACTCTCTCTTACTGGCTTGCCAGACCCAAGTATTCAAATATTATATAGTAGCTGAGAAATACGAATAAATGTGGTTTTCTTCTGATCTTTTAGGAATGAGTGTAAGTCTTTCCTTTGCAATTAACAGAGTTATGAACTTACTACATTTAAATACACATGTATGTGTTTTTTTTTTAATCAAGAGCTGAGATTCTTACCAGGACTTGCGACTCCAAGAAGAGGCTAACACTTTGGTACTGGCTGCCAATACTCCCTAGTTGTGTGCAGGCAGCACAAGTGATGTCTTGCCACATCTCTCTGCTTTTATCTCGGTAAAGGTCCTTAACAGCCACGATGCAGATTCATTTCCATATGAATTTAATGCAATGTAATGTCAGAAATGTGTGCAGCTATGTTGTCCCCAGGGCTTGGGTCACCCTGTGAATGGAGCTGCTTGGGATTTAACCATAGCCCTTTTCCTCCTTCCACACCCAGTGAGGGCCTCCTTAGTTGTGGTAGTGAGTAAAAACAGTTAGTGGATTGTCAGAGGGCATCACCAGGCAGTATTTTTCTCATATGGGTGTGCTGGTTACTTTAAACTCCATAGCTTTTTACCTGACCTTGTGATATTGCAGGGATGTATTTTTTTCTGTTAATTTGTAGAACAGCTTGTTAGAATAGATTGTGATTTACAGTGAGGGGGCATAATGCCTGTTCTGGAAGGTCCTGTGTGCCCCTTATGTGCTGGAGAATGACTACAGTTTTTAGTGGTTGTTTCAAAGATGTCGCAAGTATTTTCTGTAGCCTTTCTCTGTCTAAAAAATAACAATAACAATTAATCTCCTCAGGGTTTCTTCACATCCTAATTACAACCAAGCCTCTCATTAGTCCCACAGGGAGACAGAATCAAATGCCATATGGTATTTTACACTTAGGATGCGGTGCTTACCAAGAGCTGGAAGGAGACAGGAAAAGGGGGAGTTAACAATTCATAACCATTTATGGAACAGGCACAGCCCTCCTTGGACCCAGTTCAGCAGAGTCTGAGGGCCTCAGATCAGGAACTTTATCTGGCTAGTAATTGCATCGGCATGCTGGCTTTCTTGTGTGCGTGTGTGGGCATTTGGTGAGCAGGATACAGAGCTGCAGAATCTTTGTGCTGGCATCCACACACAAGGATGAATTAAATGCACACACGCCTCCTGGGAAGGACCATGGCTGGATTCTACGGTTGCCTGAAAAGTAAAAAGTAAGTGCCATGCTGAGTTCCCCCCTCCACCTTTCCAAAGTGAGCTGAGTCTAGTGGGAGCTTTGAAATTCTTTGTTGTATTTCAGCAGCAGCACTGAAGAAAATGTTTATGCCTTGAGACTGAACTACCATTCTGAGTACAAAAGTGCAAAAAATCAATCCTCACTAAAATACCAAATGAGTGAAAATTGGTCATATTGTTTTTTCCTTCAGAGGTATAAACATGAAATATTGAGAAAGGAATTAAGTACCTTTTCCTGCCTAATTATAGCAAGAGGAAAAATATCCTCTTCCTTATTGATTAGCTGTATTGTTTATATATTAACACGTAAAAATGAGAAATACAGAAATGCACACTGGCTTTTAAAAAATGTTCAGCTAGAAATCTGGCAGTAAATGCTCTTTAGAACTTGATGTGCTCAGCTTTTGTATAAGCAACCTGACGTTTGCTTCTGTAATCACTCCCCATTGTGAGATTTGGTTGTATTTAAAATAATTTTTTTTTTTTTTTGCTTCACTGACATATTCTGTTGGAGCAGGCTGTAAAGGGAGAAGAGAATAGGGAAATGCGTGATAGTATTTGCGCTTTAAACAACCATGAAGCTACATTTGTTTTTTCCTTTGACATTCCCTGCTAAGGAATGGAACAAAATTTTCTGCTGCAAAAACTGAGCAGTGGTTTTTGATAATGTTTTGCATCAACAGACTGTAGAGGGCTCTATTCTTGCATACAGTATGGGATTACAGAAAGTGAAAATGCACAGTGAAAGGCAAGGAAAGTTGTATCTTGAGGCTTAAGATGTGAATGCTGATAGTTAAATGTACGGGTAAGTCCTGGTTAGCAGAGGGAAAAAAAAAATTGAGAAGGGAAGCTGGCAATTCACTCTTTCTCCTTTTCCCTCTTCTAAAGGTTATATCCCTCATACCAAGAGTTTTTCTCACATTACTATTGGATTTCAGTTAGCATTTCTATCCCATATTGTCTCTTTTCCTCTGAAATTTGTGACAGTGTCTATGGGAGGGAATCAATATTTGGAAAGTAAGTCTGCCTTATATAAAAGGGAGAGGATGCAATCAGAACTACCAAAAGGGCTATGAGTGAGTCCTGATAAGGCAAGAGGATTGGCACTGCAGGTGACTAAAAAAATCAGTGTACGTTGTTTGATTTATGCTAAGTTGTTTTTCCCCAAAAATCCTCCAGCATCTAATGCAGTTAAAACAAACTTGGAAGTCTGAAAGAGGCTATAAGGGCTGGGCAGATGAAACTTCTTTCATGTGGCATATGATCTCTCCTGGTAGATCTCCACCTGATTTACAAGGAACATGGTTTTTTGTCTTCAACAAATTCTTCTTTCTTGTTGCTCTTCAGCTAGGTCTCTACACTTGGTATATATACAGATTATATTCCTCAACCTGTTATTTCAGCCCTGTGATGTGTTCCCAAGTGGATTAGTGCAACTATTAGTACTTTGCAGTCTTTGCAAATTTTATATGCTGCTTTGGCTGTGATCATTGGCAGTTAAAATGAGCCTAAGATACCAACAGCAGTAACAGTGATGTGCTTAGCTTGAGATTAATTTTAGATTAATTTTGTTTGGAGTTTGACATGAAGTATTTGTCTTTCTGGACAAATGGGTCATTGGAACGTCTTCCTCAAATCCGCACGTGGTCATTCGACCTGTAGGAGTTAGTTTGCTTTCTGAATGAAAGCTATTTTGGAATGAAATTACTTTTGTGTTTTAAACAATTGGCTTAGGTACCAGTAGGAATTTAGCCAAAGTGGCTATAAAACCTGCCACTGGGAAAGGGGTCCATCCAGGGCTTCGAGCTGCTAGGTCCAGCTAAAGCACCTGGGCTTTTTTGAAAGCTGCTTTGGGTAGCACTTTCCTGTGCTGCTGTCACATTTACCGTCATCTCCTCCACATTTTTCGAGGGGAAGCAAAGGTTCTGCCTTGGTACTCTGCAATAATGTATGACTGAATCTGATCTTTGTGCAGAGAGTCCTGTCCCTGTGCTTTGTTAATGTTCCTTTATGAGATGTCACATTAAAAAGAAAGCCCAAAGCCTAATCCAGGTAATTCTTCATTCACAACCTCAATCTTGGGTGCTATTCCACTGAAATAAAAGTTGTAGATTGCTTTTATATTTCTCTTTAACCAGCATCTGCAACCTGAATAATCTTAAATTGTTCTTCCAGTAAGTTTATAGCTCATCATCCTTGTTGCAGAGTTTTGTTGTGCTTGGTCCTGGTGTCAGAAGAAGATATTTGACCTGGACAGATATGATGAAGTTTTCTAAAGCCTGTGGAGAAATCTTTTCATATGTCTCTCAGTTTTTGGTACTAGCCAAATACATAGTTATGAGCTGGAAATGTGGTTGCTTGAATAGTAAGTTTTACTGATGGTCAATGCAAACTGCCAATTTCCAAAGACAAATATAGTATGTTAGAAGCTATATAAAATACTTGGCTGAAGGCTTTGCGTGCCAGCTCAGAACTGGTTTCTATAACAGACTATAAGGAAATGTATTTAACTGGTCTGTACTTAATGTGGTCACTCAGGATTTCATGGTGCCTTTCACAAGCACTCCCAGAATTATGGACATATTTCAGTTTGAAGGTCTGCTGCTATGCCAAGCTCTGCACTTCCAGTGGGATATTGTGTTCTTATAGTTCAAAATTGTCAAAAAATGCTGATGTGCACTCTTATCCTGCAAAGAAGTTCAGCATTTGGGTAAAACAAGTTGATTAAGGCATGCACCGGTATATTTTTCAATATATTTTTAGATTGTTTGAGATGAAAGTAATAGCAAATGTAAAATGATGTTATGACCATGGAATCAACGAAATGTGTTTTCTGGATTAGGTGCTGTTGCTCTGTAGCTGCAGCTTGCATTGTTGCCTGTTCAGATGAGTGTCAGGAAGAGATTTTTGTGTTTACTGGGATTATTGCAAAGATCACATAGTGCTGTCCACCTGATGGATAACCAACTAAGCTGAGATGTCTGTTCACTGCCTCCTGCATGTTTGCCCCAAGCCCTCTTATTGGAGACGCTACAAGGGACAGTGGAAGGAGTGCCAGAAGACCCTTCATCTTTGGTGCATAACACACATTATTCAGATTTTGTATCTGTGTGGGGGCCTTAAAGTCCTTGGTTCCCTATCCACAGCAAGCAGCTGATGTATTAGCTTGGAGACCAGCAAGTAAACTGGAAGTGGTTTAAAGCTCCACCAACTGCTACTGAAGTAGCAACTTGGCACTGGTGGAATGGGGCAGTTTAAAACTGTTGGCTCTTCTCAGTCAGCAGCTCATTCGCCTCCTGTGGCCTCTCTCACTTTTTGGAGGCACATAATCACCGCAGGGTCTAAGTAGCTGTGTTTACTGACTGTCCACAGTACACGATGCTTTCCTCTTCGGCATGCAATTTTAGACAAGGAGCATCTCTCCAGGACTCACACTAAAGTGAGACACTGAGCTCCTTGGCCATCCCTGCCTGTGGCATTCCCCGGCATACCTGGGCTGGGCTCAGCAGCAGTCTGTAGGCTCAGTGGGGCTGGCAGCTGTCAGGAGGCCCTGTGGCTTTGGAGTCAGTAGGAGCTGTGGCAGAGCGGTCCTGTGATGATCTGGGTGGTCTGTGTGTGTGGCTGATGAATTCTGGTGAGGTGAAATGCTTCTCATGAACACTTTGGCATCCTGAAATACGTTTGTTTACCTGTCTTTATTGTACACCACTTCAACACAATATTTCCCAACGAGCGCAAGAATCGCTCATTAACCATTTTTCAGTGGGGTTTTTGTTGAGGTGAAAGCATCTGAGGATGCAAGGTGGTTCCTGCCCAGCAAAGCAAGTTCACCAGTGCAGAGACAGTCCCTGGATCCACACAGGGGTGACGCTACCGGGTTTCAAGAAATGGAGGGTGCAAAAGGCAAAGCACTGAACAAGAGAAGGGATGTGCTTTTGTGGAAAGCAGAGAGCTCTCCCAGCTGGGGTCAAGTCAGAGAGGGTGAGCTGAGGTGAAGGACTCCCCAGGCATTTCGAGTCTCTCGGGGAATCTTTCAATGATGAAAGATTCAACCTATGAGCATGTTCCTGTACATGGCAATCATACAGAGTATTTGAACATTTGTGAGCATTTTTTCTTCACCCCACAGGGATCATTCAGTGCTATGCCTGGTATTAAATATGCGCAGGCTGAAGTCCTGTTTTCTTACTCAAGAATAGCAGAGAGGGTGAACAAAAGCAGTCAGGAGGTGGCAGAGCCATGGCACTGCAGGCAGTTGAGCACAGTTAGTACAATGGTGCTGTATTATTAACAAAAAGATAACTACTGCTCTTTGTTGATTCATTCCAATTTGACTCATCTCTGTGCAAGAAGTTCAGTTCTGGCTTAATACACCAGTGAGTCACTCCACGTCTCCCAGTCCTCCTCATTCTGATCGTGCTTCTCTCTGGATGGTGTTTGTTTTAGCAGCCACAGTGATGTGGTCCGTTTGCTGGCTGTAGGCAGAGGAATTCCAAGCAGGCATGCCCATTTGTTTGGTTTCAGCAGAACAGCCCTTTCCCTGTCACCAAGGTGCCAAGTATTTGGCAGATGTGCACCTCTGATGCTGCCTATCCTACTTCTCTTGCACTGGAGCAGAAGCTTCTTGGTTTGGGACAATCTGCTGAATGTGATTCTCACTTTTCTGCACCATTTGACTGTCAGGTTTTTTGTCTATGGTATTTTACCAGACTGAGCCATGAAAACTTCTTGTCATAATTTTGCCTTCTGCTCTCCTCTTATTCAGAAACTTCTGCTGCTTAAAGTGTCTAGGTTTTTACCTTTACAGCCAACTGCAGAGATTAATTTGTTATTTTCTCCTTGTACAGAGGTCTAGAAAGTTTAGTAGCTGTGATGTGAAGGCCTAGAATTGGCTTTAGAAGCTGAAATCTGGCTATAAATATGTGGGACAAAAATGAAGTATGTCCAAGTTGTACTTCCAATAGATAACCTACCTGAGCTGGTACCAGGAAACTAGAGCTGATTACTAGCCAACCTCAGGAAAATCCGAGATAAGTCTGTCTGTGAGGAAACAGAAAAAATAGCCCAATGTAATTCCAAGGTTGATTTTTTTTTTTTCCCCAAATTTCTCCTAAGGGTTTCTGCTGTAAGAAAACAGTTGAGCACAAGGTGCTCTACTCTAGCATGATCCAAGCTTATGGTTCTGTATTAAATCACTTGTAGTTTCAAGGTTG